AAAACCCCAAATTTCCCTTAAAGGACCAATAGACCCCAATCTTTCCCAACTTCAATTCCAAACCAAAATGCAACATTCCTAATACCAATTGGAACCAAATACAAACCCAATTTGACCCAATTTCAAGCCCAATTCCAACCTAAATAAAAAGCCCCAATTTTGATCATATGTCTAAATCCACCAAATTGACCTTCCAATTCAATTCAAAACTACTTTGGATCCTTTCCAAATCCTTCATGATAACTTCCTACATTAAATTGAACATTTGGTTGGCCAAAATTTGGATCCAATTCAATCTCTATTTTAAAAGCCCAAGTTTTTAAGTAATTCAAAAAGCCCAATTTCAATCAAAAGCCCATATGATGATTTTCCTCCTCATCATCCATTTGATCAAAATCACTCCCTAAGTTCTAAATCCATAATCAAATCATTCCGAATGAAGCATCATGACAAACTTCACAAAAAATACCACAAATCCAAATTCCCTTCTAAGCCAAGGACAAGCCATGAAGCCATCTCCAAGCCACATGCAAGCCATGCGAGTTATGCTCATATCACCATGCTATCTTGGGCAAAAGGAGGAACCTCTTTAGTGGTCCCCTCACACATGATTAACCACTCCCATGACTCACTTAAGCACACCATTAGCCCTAATCCACTTGGATGGGGACTTCACCATGCTAACCCAACTGAACCACCTGATTTTCCTCAACATCCAAACCTTTCTTGGTGGATGAGCCCAACCCCAAATCACGTCTTGACCCAAATTGGCCTAAAATGATCCTTCCCCCATCCTATTTTAATTCAACACTTTTACACATGGTCAACCCCAAGTGACTTCACCAAAACCAAGCCCTGACCTCCCTGAGTCAGATAGTGACCTGAACCTGGCCGGTCGACCACCTTGGATGCCGGAAAACCCAAATTTAAAAGCTCCACCTTGGCTAAAACTCAAAATTAAACCCAACCAAGCTGGCTCATTCCAATTGGATTGTTGCCCGCTTCTTTCCTCCACCTAAGCACCATTCTCCACCCATTGATTAGCAATGGCAGCCATCCCAAGCACCTCTATTTAAACTCACTCTCAACGGCCAAGGGGAGAGAGCTTAAAATTCATTGTGGAGACTCTGCCAAATTGATCCCAGGGCTTCTTCAAGACTCATTGAATTCAATCCAACCATCCTCAAGCCCTCAAACCCACTGTCGGAGCTCAATTTTGGAGCTCAAAATCAAGCCTGAAACAGGACATCCCTCTAGACTCCACCAAAGTCAAATTAATTGCACTCACACCATCCCCTGAGTGAGAGAAGAAGATCCCCATAGAAGTCCCATCACCAGACCACCCTAGTGTAGAATTTGATCAATACCCTAAATCGACCTTGATCGATTTTATATCTAGGCATTTCACCATAGCTCAAGGCTTCATCTACGAGCTCTTTGGACTCAAGGCAAGCTTTTGGAAGCACCCAATTGAGGCCACATCTCTTGGGCAAGGTATTGAACTCTCTCATTAAACCGAGCTTATTTTAATTCTCCATGTTTATAGACTTGATTAACCGTATGGATATGTTCTCCTGGTCGAGACGAGTCGATAGGAAGAAACCTCACTTAATTTGGTTGTAAAGTTTGAAGTTGGACGGTTCTCAGGCTAAAGATTTGGGGACGATGAATAGATGTCATCCATTTGCACGTGTATTGGACAGACGGATGAGATCAAGCCGGACGGAGAAGCGGAACGAAAAGGCGGGTGGAGTCAGCGCTGAGGTGTCTGACGGCGTCGAACAAGAAGACGTCGCGTGGAAAGTTCGAAGGCGTCGAGGATTGGGTGGCGCCACGTGGTTTAAATAGAAAAATAGGGATTTTTTATTTATTTAATGCCCAAAATTTTAAAAATTCATATCTTGGTGTAGAAAAATCACAAAATAAAATAAAATTACTCTCTTGCTCAGTGAACATAGAAGAATAATGTGGAAATGATTTCATGTATGTTCGATGCATGTATGATTTTTAATTAATTAAATGATATTTTTCTTATTTGGATTCTCCATTTGCATGGACATTTCACCATGACTTGATTTTGGGGCTTTGGTTCTCTCTGTCATGAGGGGTCTTCCCTGATTTTTTCAAAGGTTAGGGGAGATCTCTAGATAGAGATCTGTATTTTTTAAATGTGCATATTTTGATAAAATAATTATAAAAATTAAAATATTTATCAGAAAAATATAAAATTTGTTTTGGCAGATTTATTGTGGTTAGAGGACCCTATGAAAAATATAAACTTGGTTTAACTCATTTAAAATAATCTTAATTGTCACCAACCCCTAAAAATGAATAAAAATTAATTAGGAATAG